AAAAAAAAAAAAAAAAAATATACTAAAATTCATCAAAATCCGTTCAGTAGTTTCAGCGTGATTGATTGACAAACATCCAAATAAAGAAACTTCCACATTTAATATATTAGTGTGATGAACTATATTATACCGCAGAACCACGTCTCTTGGACAAGAATGAAACCCAAAATAAATTATATACATGTCTATATTACATTCTTATTAACAAATAATATCTAATTAACGTAACCATTTCTTAGAAAATAATTCCTGAATGGCATAAACTGACAGTCCTTTAGTCTCTGGCAAGAAGTAAAAGAAGAAGATTGCAGTAGAGAAGCACATAAAAGCGAAGAAGTAAAAGACAGGTACCAGGCCCACAGAACTTATGAGGAGGTTGAATATAAATTGGACAAAGAAGCACATTGTCCACGACCACTCCACTGCTAGCATTGACATGATGCTTTTTACCTGGAAATAAATTAAGATAATAATTGTTGGTTAAATAGATTAATACATTTCATAAGAGATGAATTCGTCAAAACATTGTGATTTTTGAATGATTGTGTTCCTAGGTTCGTCAGCGGTCTCCAAAAACCGTAGCGAAAAGGAAATCCCTCCTGAGGGAAAGTGGAGGCCACAAAGGAGGAGGCTGAAGCAAGACCTCATATGGAACTAAACCTTAGATAATATTAAGTATTATAGACATCTTACCTCAGGTAAAAACACTTCAGCCAAAATAACTACAGGCACGGTTCCCGCCCCAAATGTATAGAACATCGTGTACACGTATATAAACATGGGAATAATCCACGTAGGCCCCCACGCCGTCAGGATCTGCGTTCCTAGTACCACGCAGCAGAAACCAGCAGCTATCGATGAGTAAATTATCAGCGGCTGCAAAAAAGATGTTTCGTTTACTACGTTTTTATTCATTAGTTGAATTAATTAATACTAATGAAAACAAATTAAGCGAATGACTCACTCTTATGTTTATGTAATTAAGCAATTATATTTCCATATTAATTCGTTATTTCTGTCATCATCTTACGCACCATACCGTACCGTGCCATTTAGTAAAATCTCAAAGGACGCAAGTCCCGAGTACAATACAATAAGGATGTATAAAATTTATAAAAAAGCAGGCTACATTATGTTTTTATAATAACTATCGTGACACATATTACATTAACTAAAAAATTACTAGTTACTCACATGAATATACCGAGAAAAGCTCTACTAGTTTCGAGTCACAGAAGGACTCTTCCTCATGAGCAGCATCACCACAACCGTTTACATGAGTAACTTGTAATTTTTGTTCATTTAGCCTATATTATATTCGAAAGATGGAATCTATTACCCCCGTTCTCCAATCTCCCCAATCCCTGAATCCCAAAAATGCTCAAAACCCTAATCCCAAAAGGCCGGTAACGATCTTGTAACGTTTCTGGTGATTCGGGTGTCCAAGTGCTGTGACAATTGTTTACCATCAGGTAATCCGTCTGCTGGTTTACCAGCTAATTCCATAAAAGAAATATTTCTAATAGACCAAGAATACGCTTTCGAAAGTAAATAAAAATTAAGTCCCTAAACCTTAGCCTGAGATTCTGAGTCTCTGATTCTTGTAAAGAAGAATGAGCAAGAAACTCCATATCTTTGACTCTTTCTCAATCAGTTTAACAGTGGTTTTCCAATTCTGGGTTTCATGTTAAACAAGTTCAATCAGGTGAAAGCAATGTAATAATAACCAGAAAGAGAGAAAGTAAATGATAGAGCACCATGTCCACATCTAGACGGAAATATTATAGGTACCAGGACTTCATACACTCTAAGAAGTAGAAGTTCACTTACCCGTCTCCCAAGAATATCAGTCAGAAACGCAGATATACTGCCAGCGACAATCATGACGACTCCCATGAGCACACTGCATAGATTCGGTGAGATGACGTCACGAGGCACTGCTTCAGCAAACATAGGCTCTGCGTAAACCTGCACTACTGGTAGTCCTTGCATAATATACGCTACTTTCAAGGCCATTATTATGTAAAACTCGCGTCGAGTAGACGGGGAATTTTCTGAAAATTATCGAAAAATAAAAATAATAAATCTTACGAATCTGTCACATCAGAATGTAACCACCCGAAAGATTAAAAATTCATAGATAAAAAATTAAAATAGGATAATGATTATGTATTATTTTACAAAGATTATTAACGACACTTACTGAAAAATTGCCAACAAGACACCTTCTTAGTCTTTGGCAAAGGAGCTAGGCTTTCATCAGTCGTTGTCAAACCCTGGACATCTGTAAATATAAATAAGTCATTAAAATAACATTGTTAGTCGAATGGTCGATCCAATTCCTAAGTTGGACAATGTTCAGTTTGGTCGTTTTGTTCTCGGCTCATATCATTAGGCCTTCTATTACTCCGGAGCTGCGGACCACTAATCTCCTCCTAACCCCTATGCTCATAACGTAACTGATCAAGAGAGAGAATCTACTATGTTCCACGTATCTGGTACATCTCTGCCTATACCTTTAAGATTAGAATGTATAATATATAATAAGATTACCATCTCCGTTGACGTTGAAGATCCGCCGCAGTTTGTCTATTTCTTGCAGAACTTCTTTCGATGTAGTCTTTTCACTTCTATAAAACGCTATCGACTTGGCAGCGTCCTGTAAAGAAACAAATAAATAGATAATTTATTACATACTAAGGTCTATTGTCCACGTAACCGCACGGCATACGCATGCTTTCGTCAATATTGACGGGTGAAACACGGATGCTTGCATCTTTTTTTATGGTATAATCCGGTAAACGAGCAGACGGATCACCTGACCAATTGGCGTTGCGCATGGACACCCGGAACAGTAGAGGCGATACAAGTGCGTTACCAGCCTTTTGGGGATTAGGAATTAAAAGATTGTTAGTGATTCAGGGATAGAAAAGATTGAGAAGGGGGGGGGGGTTGGTCCTCCGGTAACCTCACTCCACCTCACACAATGAAACACAACACAAGCATTGTTTCACGTCGGTCTTCTGTGAGGCCGTGGTATCACTCCGGTCGAGCCGGCCCATTCGTGCCCAACCATGGCTCTCCCATACTTAAAACCGCATCTTACGTAGAAACTTCAGTCAGTGTCAGACTTCTCCGGCCACCGTAAGGACGGGCCTGCGGATGGCGAGCACGGATGACTCGCCGCCCGACCAGAATCAGGCCCGAGCGTACGGCGCGTCGCGTACCGCGCGCGCCTCAAGGAGCGTATCGGCATCAGCCCTATTGGGCCCCATCCATAGTGGCCTGATGGCTTTTTGAGGTGCGCGCAGAACGCAACGTATCGTACGCTCGAGTCTGATTCTGGTCATGATGCTGCATTTGTAAATTGTGTACTGAGAGGCTGTGGTGTCATTTTAGTGAAGTGAGCTGTGAGGCCAGTAGAACCGATCCATTCGCCCTGAACCATGAATCATTTACAATTAAAAGAAAATTTCTAATCATAATCACCTCTTCACGACCCTTAGCCATGAGTGTCAATGGGGATTCCTTGAGCACGGACAGCAGTAGCACTCCAACAACAGACAGTGAGAGACAGGCGTACACCATGTGGTGGTAGCTCAGACATCCGCCCAGGAAATAGGAGACTAGGATCCCGAACCCATAGAACTGCATGGGCCCTGATGTCATTGTGCCTGGAAACCACAGGAGATTATTATTTTTTAGCCTGACGCGTCGGCCGAGTGGTCGCAAGTGCGACTGCCGGGCAAGGGGCCTGGGATTCGACTTCCGGGTCGATAAAATATATAGAGATACAAAGATATAGCTGGGTTTTAAAAAAATTCTCAGTAGTAGCACAGAGTTTGGAATTGCGTCCGGTATATGGCAATAAGCTCACCCCCTATTATATTGGTCTCATAACATAAATAGTCAAAAGCCGGTGTTACGTTGTACAGTGGAATTAAGCTCTGCCTGCCCCTTCGGGGATAAAAGGCATGATGATGATTTATTTATTATTTTTCAGTAATAACGTCACATTCTTGTCGTGTGCCTGTGATGGCGCTACTTGCTTGACATTTACTAAAACCTAACTTATTCGTACTTGAATAAATATGACTAATTGATCTCTGCATAAAGGCCTTTTATTTTAGGCCGTAGCAAACAACATATTTTGCTAAAATAACTAAATATAAGTAGAGGTCGTACAGTATTTTTACTCCTATAAACTAAGAATAAGATGACTTTTACATCATGTATTGCACAAGCTATCTTCTAATTTGCATAAAAAATGCCTACTAAATGTACATAGTATAGAAAAACAAAGCACACAACCCAACTCATAGATATATGTAATTAAGATTTTATATTTCTGTGGCCGAACTCTACGATTGAACTCAGCAAAAATCGAATAATACTTTTCTTGTCTTGGAAATCGAATTGAAACATCGTATCTACACAAAATGGGGCACTCCGAACTGTGGTGAGTCAGCACTTTTTCTCTCTCATATAACCAGTAACCAGGTCGACAGTAGCACTAAGGAGTTCAAAGAACTATTTTATTGTTTGTAAACACATACCTCTTATGGAGTCCTGGCATATCTCGCTAATATAAATAGTAGATTCCAGGAACACTGCGAATCCGAGACCTCCTATAAACATCGCGGTTAGTACCACTTCTACTTGACTTGATAGCGCTATTATTGACCACGCGATCTGAAAATTATAATAAGAAAGTTTCATTAAGTAGTTCCATGAGAATTATTACTCAAGAAATTATGAAAAGACTGATATTAATCTGACCCAGGAATCGAACTTAAAACCTTGAGATTGAGATTATCCTTTTTGTCAACTCAAAATCATTTTTAACTTTAACCTAGTAGTCTCGTCATAAGTTTATTAAATTAATTTTTAAAAGTCTAACGCGCATTACTCATCACTTATGCTCCTCTGGTACTCACCACGAAAATTAGAGAGGATAATGTGACAGATTTCTTTCTACCCAACCTGTCAAGGACCAACCCCGCAATAGGGTTGGCTATCAGGCATCCTATGGAAGGTAGACTGCCAAGGAGTGACACTTCTGCTGGTCTCATAGGCCGATGAAGAGTTGTGTTTTCTGATTTGAAGAGTAGAATGGTGGAAGATGGCCACGCCATCAATATACCCATGTTGGCACACGACAGGCATACTGGAATCAAAAAAAAATTAAAACTAAATTTCTGATTCCCAGTTTCACACCCAAAACACTAAAGGAGTTAGAAGTGGGTTGACGGTCTTTTGAGGGCGAGGGTTTAGTAAGTAAATTCTTTTACATGGCGAACTACACCAAGACCCAAGAGCATTGTTTCACTTTGGTTTTCTGTGAGGCCATGGTATCACTCGATGGAGTGCTGAAGCATGGGTCTCTCACTCTTACGAATAACTAAGATTAATGATTTAACCAAAATCACTACATCCTAATTCATCGAGAAAAATAATAAATGAATAAAACTGACAATAAATTATGTTATACTACATAGCATATTAACTCGTCGAGTACCGGTTTTGTAGACACAATTATAGAACAATAGGTTGCGGTCACCGGTGACCGCTTGGTGTTTGACAGTTTAAGTAATTTTGTATTATACAAGATACCTACTTATAGTCGTGCCGATGATTTGAAGTGTGACTCCCATGACTTCCTGGTATGTGATGACGCTGCAGCTGAAATTATTCATTATTCAAGTCGTTGATGATTTACTTAGCAATGCCTCAAACAAAGTAAATATAAGCTCCGTTGACAGAAATAAACAACTTTGTGGATGTGACCAGTACCTAACATAAAGGTGGTGGTCTGATGGCTCTATGTATTATTAATTATTTGATTCGCCATTAGGACTATCAATATTTATATTTGGTTAGCAAATTTTTATAATTGAATGTCTAGCTTAGTCTATATTCTAGGTGAGGTCTGGGTCTGATTTACATTTTAGTGAAAAAAAACGTACCTACATATTTATGTCTTGTTATATAATATTCCTAATAGTAAAGTCAAAGTCAAAGCATTTATTTCAATTAAACCATAATTTGGTACTTTTGAAACGTCAATAAATACAAAATAAATAATAGTCTGTCAGTCAGTTCGTCAGTGAAGCTAAGTGAAGCTAGGTGCTCATTCCAAAATGTAGATTCGAATGGAGAAGAACGAGCAAGAAACTCCATTCGTTAGTAGCTTAACATATTATACTGATGGTCTATGTGCAGTAGTTTTTTCCAAATATCTATCTATATTTTTACACATAATAATAATCACATCAATCCTTGCATTAATTGCTTTTTAGACGTGAAAGAATGACAAACCAACACAATTCAACACATACTGTAAGTATTACTGTGAAGTTTTTTTTTTTTAAGGAGGGAAAATCATCGAATGACTGCTCCCGCCTGAGTGAGGCGGGAGAGAGTGTCAGACTCTTACTGACTAAAAACCACCCCGTTCCTTCTCCTGCACGTCGAGCCGGAGCCCCGGTTACCCGTTAGGTTCTCCGCGACATTATTACTGTGAAGTGGGGATGAAAAAATATATGACAATGTTTTTTTGTTTCTGAATTGAATATGTTTTTTATGTTACTGTTTCTTATTTACTGCCTCGTTGGACGAGTGGTCGCAAGTGCGACAGCTGTGAAAGGAGTCTTGAGTTCGATTCCCGGGTCGAGCAAAGTATTAGGGTTTTTAAAATTTCTCAGTACTAGCACTGAGGCTGGAATTGTGCCCAGTGTATGACAATAAGTTCACCCCCTATTACATGGGACTCATAACGTAAATAGTGAAAAGTGAGTGTTACATTGTACAGTGGCATTAAGTGCTGTAATGTGCATAAAAGGCGTGATGTTATGTTATGTTTCTTACTTATGTTATCTTTTTTAAGACATGAGGAACACAAATACAGTTTCTTCAAGAAGTACAGATAGTACATAGATAACTATAAGCTCAGAAAAAAAATTACACTTCAAATTTTTATTAGTCGTCGTGGAAAAAGATAACCGTATTATAATTTATAAGTTGGTACCTAAATTAATTAAATTCCTTAATTATACCTAGACCTAACTAGTAACTTAGTTATTTAAAAAAATACACAATTCTCTAGCTAAATTATTTATTACCTAAACCTGCATACAATGGTTTCTAAAAGTTGGGTAAACAAAAACAAAAAACTCTACCTTAAGTTTGAAAATCTCGAAACCACCAAATCACTACATAGTATAAAACAAAGTCGCTATCCGCCGTCTGTCTGTCCCTATGTATGCTTAGATCATTAAAACTACGCAACGGATTTTGATACAGTTTTTTTTTAATAGAGGTAGATAGAGTGACTTTTAAGGAAGGCTTCTGTGTATAATACATGCATATTGCATCTGTGCGAAGGCGGGGCGGGTCGCTACTTAATTTATAATACCAACAAAAATGGTTTATTTCACTTTTCATAAATATACCTACAGGCGAAATTAATAACTGATTTTCAGATCCGATGCCTTTTTCTCAGTAAGTCCATACAACTAATGTCTCAAAAATCGATCGTAATAATTTTTTTTTTCGCATTAAAAATAAATATTTCGTATTGAAATTATTTTTTAATTTCAGCCATTAATCACTATTAATCACTAGGTAATTTCAGCCAATAATTACCAGGCTAACATAACAAACGGAAAATACCTACAATACATCGATACCAAATCAATTGACATACCAGTGTTGAACTATTTCAGCTATCCCTTCGAATTCATGCCGGCCGTGTCACCAGTAACACATCACTCAACGGAATGAAGCTGCGACCTACCTAATTGACACTTCAATACTTTACTAAGAAATAAAACGACTAAGAAATTGATTAGGTATTTAGTACGTATGCCTTATTGAGATTTAGGCCCCTTGTAAATAAATAGGTCTCGAATAATTTTATGTAATGTACTATTTTTTCTGCTAATTTATTATGTACTTTACTACTGACGTATTAGGGGTGATCATAGTTAAAATTTCGCGGTCAACTAATTAAAGTTCAATGTTCACTCGTGTGACCACAAGCAATAAAACAAATGCCGTGAAACACGTTTTTATGTTCGTAATTGTTGATCGAAGTTCGTAATAAATACATAATGTTAGTTTATTTACGCATCAATATATAAATCATGCTAATATGTATGTTTATAGCGAGGCTCTAATTCATTCGTGTGTATATTTTTCCATAGGAATCGTAGATTTTATTTATGTACTCCACTTATGTACTGATGTCCTAGTACCTAGCTTACGTATCACTGGAAACTACATAATAACGTCACGCTATTTAATCTACAAAGGGTAAAACAGAATTGTAATGTAACTAATTTTTACTAGTTCAGTTCAGAATTCCATGGAATAAATAGGGGGTGAGCCTATTGCCATATACCGGGTATAATTTTAAATTCCTTTCTATTTTGAGTGTATTCCATACGGTCTGGTACCTACTGTGGACAAGCAAAAAACCAGAATGAACCAACCCAAAGGGGGGGTGAACTCGTGACAGTTCCTAATTATTTACTGCCAAATTATTTTTATTGCATTTGATACAAAATTACAGAGCTTAGAGGAAAAGTTTATACAAAAACGCTAACAGAGCCTGTTTTAACAAAAATAAGATTAGGTATTCGGTAGGTTTTTTGGCGTTAAAACAACTATCTTATGCATTCAGAAGGTGACGCAAATCTGAATTATTAATCCATTTATTTAGTCGTACAAAAAACATTGTGATTTATTAAAACTGTCAAGTGGGTATCTATTTGCGTACTTATTATATTTTAATGCGTTTTTTTTTCTTTTTATTTTCAATTATCTGTTGCCTGCGACTTCGTCCGCGTAGAACATAAATTTTAAAACATAGGTAACTCTTTTTTGTTTCAATTTTACCGAATAAAAGTAGCCTATGTTACTTCTTAGTACATCAGCTACCTGTCAATAAAAATCTTGCAAAATCGGTCCAGCCATTCCAGATATTAACTCGTCGTAGACACAAATATAGAACAATAGGTTGCGGTCACCGGTGACCGCTTGGTGTTTGACAGTTTAAGCCAGTACAAATAGACAGACCGACAAACAAAAATTGTAAATAATGTTATTTTGGTATGAGTATCGTATTTATATTCATATGCATGTAGTAAAAAGCGGTTATTTTAATATTATTACTGGGTTTTAAAAAAAATCTCAGTAGTAGCACGGACTCTGGAATTGTGCCCGGTATATGGCAATAGGGTCACCCCCTATTACATGGGACTCGTAACATAGATAGTGAAAAGTGGGTGTTACATTGTACATAATGTGCACCTCTGCCTACCCCTTCGGGAATAAAAGGCGTGATGTTATGTTATGTTAATCACGATGCGATTGTGTTGTTAACAAAACTACTATGAAGTGTCGAGTAGAATTTCCGTATGTGGAAAAGTTTGGGCAGTATTTTTGAGTTACAGCATAGGTACGGGACCAACCCGCATTGACCAAGCGTGGTAATTTGAGGCTTTGCTCAGCACTGCGCATTTATAAGCTGTTGATGATGATGATGATGATGATGATGATGATGATGATGATGATGATGATGATGATGATAGGTACGAGAATTGTAAAGCGCATTATATCAGCCATAAGCTACTGCTTATGGCACGAAGAGTGGGTGTTACATTGTACAGTGGCATAATGTGCACCTCTGCCTGCCCTTCAGAAATAAAAGGCACGATGTTATGTTATGTTTAATATTACAAACACCAATTTTATTTATTTGTTTAGATTTGAATGCCTCAATGGTCAAACGATTGCAAGTTTGACTTCTGAACATGACATTTTTTATTCAAAATCCTGTACATATCTCGCAGCGTCATAAAGTAAAAATATCTACATACATAACAATTTACTAACAGCTATGGATAAGAATAGGATCAATCACTTACTTTATTGAAAAAAGTCCTCGAAGCAGTTGCTGTCCTCTAATACAATCGAACTCTACTACAGCCTACATACATAGACCATCTCAGTAAGAAGTCAATGGACGATCTGTTCTCGGAGAACGTCACAACACCACTGAACCGCAACGATTGCTAACAAAGCCTTTTTTCACATGTTTTCGTACCGATCACCTCCCCGAGCTTTCATAATAGATTTTATGGCTCTTTTTTGTACTTAAATAAATAGTTCCTTAGGGCTCTGAGCGCCTGGTAACCAGATGTGTGATTTCTATTATCCATATTTTAAGGATTTTGCTCTTTTCGTGGATTTTTTTTACAATATTGCAACTTATGATGGATCAAATGGATAGTGTTGGGTCAAAAAGGGTATAGGTACGGATTTTAACTTGCTAGCCGATGGCAGAATAATAACTTAGGTATGAATGTAACCCATACCATATCTAGACATGTTAACATAACGTGCAAAATGCAATGGAAATAGGAAGTCGCTCACTCTATCTTTTATCTTCGTTTAGGTAGGTATCTATCTACTTATCGACTGGCAGTGGAGCAGCTATTAGGCACCTACCTAAATGTTAGACAAATCCGTTACTCAAAGAAGTAGGTACCAAGGGCTTGTTACCTATGTTAAAGAGTAACGATGGAGTTTCTTGCTCGTTTTTCTCCATTTCAAACTACACTTTGGAACGAGCGCCTAGCTTCACTAACAATTCAATTTGACGTTTCAAAAGAGCCTTTTTTGCAAGGGGGGAAATCATCGAATGGCTTCTCCTGCCAGGGTGAGGCTAGAGGTAGTGACAGACTCTTACTGACTAAAAACCACCCCGTTCCTACTTCCACTTCAAGCCGAAGCACCGGCAACCCATTAGGTAAGTCCTCCGAGGCTCCGTATCGGCATCAGCCCTATTGGGCCCCATCCGTGGTGGTCTGATGGCTCTTTGAGGCGCGCGCGGAACTCATCGCGCCGTACGCTGGTTCTGGTCGGGCGACGAGCTACCTCTGGCCGGAGACTCTTAGCCCAAGCGCGGAGCTTGACTTCAAAAGTGCCTAATCAATAATTAATTGATGTAAATGCACACTTTAACTGCAACGTTGGTGCGGTGGCTGGGCAACTGGCTGTCGTGCTACGGGTATGGGGTTATTATGTCCCACACGGACCATCTCTTTATGTGATTCACAAATTGTTGTTCCAGATCTCATGTGTATATGAACTTGTATGTTTGTAAACGCACTTAAGATACAAAAGAAAGTCCTAGTTTGTAGCAACGTTAAAAAACATCAATATCGATGCTCAGAAGTTTGAATCATAACATACCTGTCGATTCAGCAGCACGCAACACACACATGAAATTATCTCCTAATGTTGTCTTATAACATCAGTCTTCAATACAATATTCTGATTTACTTGGAACACTTCCGCACTTTTCAAGGATAACGTTTATTTTCGAATTCAATCCACAGGACAATGACCTTAGACTCATTTGTACTTACTTTTAACCACTTTAATAGGAATAACCAACTATTTTTACGTCAGTTCTTAATACTACTGTTATAAACTAATACTATCTGTTCGTACTAGATTATAAACTTCATCTATTTTTATAGCACGTTGAAGATATGTAGGTACTTCATTGCGTAAGATCGCAAAACTATTTTTATACTGCAGAAAGCTATTCTATCAATCCGCCAAATTATATTGCGGACATTAAGCGGCGATTGTTTTGAAGTTTTTAGCTGTCTTTATTTACTACTGCCGAGTCTTACTATTAGTATATTGACTCGTATTTGCATCACCTACACCAGGGCAGGGACGTATTATCTCTTAGACAAACTAGGCAAGTGCCAGGGCGCCAGGTTCCAGAGCGTACGGCCCGTCGTGTTGCGCACGCGCACAGATAGGGGCCAATAGAGCTTATGCTGATACGGAGCCTCGGAGGACTTAACGGGTTGCAGGGTCTCCAGCTCGAAGTGCAGGAGTAAAAACCGGGTGGGTTTTAGTCAGTAAGAGAAACTAAATAACCCAAAAATCGCGGGTTACTCACGTGAATGTACTGAGAAAAGCTCTACTAGTTTCGAACCACAGCGGGGTTCTTCCTCATGAGCAGCGTGCACGGTCGCGGCGATGTCAAGCAGACTAATGACCGCCGCGACCGCGAGTTTTAGGTAATTTAGTATGTCTCACGATAGTTATTATAAAAAGTAAGAGAGACTCTCTCTCGCCTTATCCAAGGTGGGAGAAGTCATTGTTTAATTGCCAGATTACAGAGAAGCGCCATGACACCGCAAGATGCGTCGGACGCGCGGATCCTTACATGCGGCGGCGCTAAATAAATAGGGACGCCTATAAGGTGCTTTCCTAAAGCGCTCTCTAGGTTGATTCTGCCTTTGACCTACGCTTTCACAATATTCTTTAATACCACTTACTTAAAAGGGTAGGCAAGGATACAATATAGGTTAGTACCTATATTGTATCCTTGCCTACCCTTTTAAGTGGGTGTTACATAGTGTAACACCCATTTTACCGGTAGGTCTGTTACAGCGGGTATTCGTGTCCGTATACTAGTCACAATTCCTGACTTCGTGCTGAGAATTTTTCGAAAAACCGAAAGCACTATATTGATATTTTGCCTATGCATCATTTATTTATTTAAAAAATGTTTGATGCACATAAACAAGCACATAGGCCATGGGTGGGGTCACCAAGACTGGCGTTACTGGAGGATGTAGGTACTTAACTTTTAAGTTTTCTATTGGCAGCCAAAGCCCTAATACCGTAAGCATTTTCTGCCACTCTGAGCTCTTACTCATAAAATAACATAACATCACGCCTTTTATCCCCGAAAGGGTGGGCAGAGGTGCACATTATGCCACTGTATAATGTAACACCCACTTTTCACTATTTATCAGTGGCGTAGCGTGCCTTGGGGGGGCCTCGTATAAAAAATTGTTTAGGGGCCCTTGAAGGGTAAACATGTCTCATAAGAGATTTTTTAAATTAAATACTTATAATTTGTGTGAAAACCGAAAATCTTTTCAAGCAACTCCCTCTGTCCTAATTAGCGGACCTTAATTAGATACTTTTATTTTTCTTAAGTTTTTGCCAACCTTTGAACGCATGCTTTACGTGGGAAAAAACGTTATTTTTTTACTTTTGTGATTACTGAAATAGAATAAAAATTGGGAAGTTTTTATTAATTTTTGCTTGCTTAGGCCCCTGTAGTTCGGGGGCCCCGTATAATTGATACGGCAGATACGGCGCTAGCTACGCCCCTGCTATTTATGTTATGAGTCCCATGTAATAGGGGGTGAGCCTATTGCCATAAACCGGGCACAATGTCAGACTCCGTGCTACTAGTGAGAATTTTTTAAAACCCATTAATACTTTGCCGGACCCGGGAATCGAACCCGAGACCCCTTGCCCGGCAGTCGCACTTGCAACCACTCAGCCGACGAAGCAGCACGTTAGAAGAGTTATGGACATACTATTATTTAGTTACTTATTACTTTACATTACTCATAAAATAAAACAATAAATATTGTTATATAGTAATATTATTTATTGCGAATGTATTTTAAATTAAACAACCACATCTGTGAGGAATGCACAATGACACAACTTGTTCATTGCTAAAGAAATATAATAAATAAATTCATAAATAAAAATTGTCGGTTTAACATTAATGTTTTAATTTCTAGTGTGTACAGTAAACGACAAAATATTCCATGCGAATGTAGTAAGAGCAAAAACTACTTGTAGTATAGATAATGTAAAGGTACAGTAAAACATGCTCTAAAATAACACGCTAAGGGCCGATTTTTCAATCATCAATTGACAATTTAAGTATGGAAAAATTTCCTTGATCGAAAATAAATTTCTTCGACTGTACAACCTAAAGAAATATGAAAAAATAATCACACTTTCATTAATTCATTTTATGACCAACTTAATTTTAGTATTTTTCTAGCGAATTTTTAAGAAATAAGTATACCGTTTGACGCTAAAAAAACTTATCCTTTTTGACAGTTCGAAACTTCACTTAGTAGCATGTCAATACTTTTATTGAAATGTCAAAAACGATACTTTTCTATGAATTTTGTATTGGATCGCAACTTATGACGTCATCATATTTCTGCGTCAAATAGCATACTGTCTTATTCCCTTAAAATTATCGAGAAAAAATCCAAAAGTAGGTAAATTATCAAATCAATAGATGAGTATAAAATTAAATAAGGTATGATTATTTTTAACCGACTTCAAAAAAAGGAGGAAGATTTTGTTTAAAACTTGTGGCACCGACTTCTCACCTATCATTGGGTGTGTAAGCTATAAGTACGTATAACCAATAATAGTTATTTTTTCCTTTTAGTTTGTCTTTAGTTTTTGAAGTCGGTTTTTTTAAACGCAGTTTTTAATGAATAATGCTTTGAAACGTTGAAACAATTTATTAAACCTAGGAAACTAGCCAATTGAAGCATGCTTTCGTACTTGAAGTTAGCATGATGTGTAACAGTACCTTCATATTATAAACGCAACAAATCGATTTCAATATAGAAACCATTAGTACAACCTAAATCTTGATTTGTTGTTCAGTTTTTACCACTCAATATACCTACGATGTCACAAAAATAAATGACAGCAATGCATAAGATGAACAAAATAACTTAAAACATTAATCTTCTCGGCAATAAAATTAAAATAACTCTCGGTCGGTAATAAAGCTGTCGAAACATAATATTAAGAATTGAAATTAAAAACACAACAATAACTATGTATTACAAAAAACTTATTAAATAAAAAAATACCTTCATAATATTGTGTTATTTGACTTGTTTGATAAAAAAAATACTTTTGCACTATTTGTTCGTAAAAATCCCTAAACTCAAACAGTCCATAGTTCATTATTAAGTCTGACTTTCAAAGGCATTTCAAACCTTTGGCCCTTATTTCATTAGGATACCATAGTCGTACCAGCAGTCGCGTTAGGGTACTAGCTTAGAAATTACGTAGCTAGCCATGTACCTAGGAGTGACGTCACGCGATATTTCACATCAATATTTCATCGAACGTATTTTTTTATGGAATAGGAGGCAAACGAGCAGACGAATCACCTGATGGTAAGCGATCACCGCCGCCCATGGACACCCGCAACACCAGAGGAGTCACAGGTGGTCACAAAGGACTACGCTCTTTTCTTGAAGGTTGGAAAGTCGTATCGGTTCGGAATTACCGTCTAATAAATTATTTTTTTATAATATTAAATACGTATTGAAGAAAAGTGCGTATTGCTTTTTAAAAGGCCGGCAACGGACTTGTGACTCCTCTGGTGTTGCGGGTGTCTATGGGCGGCGCTGATCGCTTACCGTCAGGTAATCCTACAGCTCGTTTGATTCCTATTCCATAAAAAATACGTGTCTAATGTTTTAAATTAATCTATCAGACGGACATTAAAATAAAAGGAAACGATTATATTGTATACATTTTGTAGTTTACGCGACATTTTATTGGCCGTGTCCTAATGAAACTGAGCTCATCACACATTCTAAGGGCTTCACACAGAATTAATAAAATAAACTAAATTAGTACTAAATGGTGTCCTTTGGCGTCTATGGAGCATCGACCTTTATGTTCAGGATCTGCCAGAATATCAGCCATATCGGCAGGATCACTGAGGTCGTCAGATTGAACAGCCAGTTCCCGTACAACTGTTAATAAACAAAAATGTTTCTTTTATTTATAATTGAGATACAAAGAGTGTCGTGGGTGCGTTTACAAATATACAAGTTCATATACACATGACACTCAGACCCGAAACAGCAATTTATGGATCACACAAAGAGTTGCTCCGTACGGGAATAGAACGCGCGGCAGCCGTGTTTTTTTAAGTATGGGAGAGTCATGTTTCGGCACGAATAGGCCGGCTCGACCGATCATGGCCGAGCAGAAAACCGACGTGAAACAACGCTTGCGTTTTGTTTCGTCGTGTAAATAAGGTTACTGGAGGTCCAATTAACTTCTCGTTTTCTGCAATCCCCGAATCCCCTACAATTCTCAAATTCTCAACAAGCCGGTAACGTATTTGTAACGCCTTTGGTGTTTCAAGTGTCCATGGGCGACGCTCATTGCTTACCATCAGGTGATCCGTCGAATTGTTTAACAGGTTATACCACAAAAAAAAATATGATAGAAATTAGTAAATGACTATTATACAAAGAATCATAAACAAATCAATGGATACTGACCATAGAATCTGCAACAGAGAACATGATGGCCTGCATGGCGGCGTCGGAGCCCCGGCCGAGCGTGGCCAGCCAGCTGTCGTCGGCCACCAGGCGGCGGCTGTACGCCACCATGCACGCCACCACCACCACCAGCGGGTGCAGACACACGCAGCACAGCCGCTTCACCAGCTGGACACATGCCCTGCGATGTCGTGGACATGGTGATCTCATACTGCTTGTTGTTTTTAGTCGAGGAACACATGAATAAATCATGATTATAAGCCCTAGTTTGACTTGAAATAAGTCGAG